TAAATTAATATATTTAAAGTCTGCTAAATTGGAACAACTAATTTTGAACTTAATGCACTTTAGTTATCCGGAAGTAGTGCTGAATGCAACTAAAGGGTAACACTTTAGAATACGGTTCCTTCGTTAATGAATAACTACACAAAAACCAATGAGTAACACAATATTAACAATCTAGTAAATATTATTAAATAACAAGAAACTCTGATTAACGAACTAGTAAGTAATAGCGCACAGATGAAAGTGGTAGTTCACTATTAACTAATCAATAACTACTATTTTTTTAATGCTTCCCAGAGAACTACTGAAAAAGTTTATTAACAATCTAGTAACTACTATTAACTAAAAATAAACTCTGATTAACTAATTAGTAAGTAATAGTGCACAGATGAAAGTGGTACTTCATACTTCTATGGGAATTACTAATTATTTGGATCCGTATTCTAAAGTGAAGATCATGGGAACTAACTAGTAATGACTCAAGTGTGACTACATGATCTAGTCATGATTTGTGCAACCAAAAACAAAAGTCATTTCAAGCGTTTGAGATTTTTGGTGAACTTTAGAACCCTAGTATACTTTTAGAAAATTTCTTTAGAAGTATGTAGTAACACTTGAGTCATTACTAGTTAGTTCCCATGATCTTCACTTTAGAATACGGATCCAAATAATTCGTAATTCCCATAGAAGTATGTAGTAACACTTGAGTAATTACTAGTTTGTTCCCATGATTCTTTCAGTAGTTACTAATGAAAAGCCAATAAAGTGTAGAATATTCTCACTCACAAGATCTGCACACACACACACACACACACACACACACATATATATATATATATATATATATATATATATATATATATATATATATATATATATATATATATATATATATATATATATGAGCTAGGAGACATACATAAAAACATATTTTTTGGGGAGGTAGGTTAAATAATAAAATAACTGTATAAGGTATTTGGGTGGCTGAAGACTCAGTATATGATACCAGTACTCACCGTGACTCTAGTGATTCAATGCCAGTCCAGAGGAATGCCGGAAAATTGGCCACAGGAAAAGTAAGGTCCCGACAACTGCATTTAAAAATCAATTTCTTTAAAATTATTCAGTTGATAAATAGACAGCATAGGCCAATTATTAACAGCTTTCCCAAATCATAAGTCTGCTATGCTATTACAAATTAATCATGTAAACAACCTTGTGTATTGTTTACAGTAGCAGTTAAAATGTTAGTGTAGTGCTAGTCATTTGTCCTGCACTGGTTATTGATTAGTTTTGCATAAATTATGAACATTTTCAGTAGTTCTCTGGGAAGCATTAAATTAAATTACTTACTAATTCGTTAATCAGTGTTTCTTTTTAGTTAATATTAGTTACTAGATTGTTAATAAACTTTTTCAGTAGTTCTCTGGGAAGCATTAAAAAAATAGTAGTTATTGATTAGTTAATAGTGAACTACCACTTTCATCTGTGCGCTATTACTTACTAGTTTGTTAATCAGAGTTTCTTGTTAGTTAATAATAGTTACTAGATTGTTAATATGGTGTTACTCATTGGTTCTTGTGTAGTTATTCATTAACGAGGGAACCGTATTCTAAAGTGTTACCCAACTAAAGATATACTAAGTATATTTGATTGCGCTAAAGTGGAACTATTGCAAGTATCATTTAGGTACACATTTTAAAGCTACAATATGTAAAAAAATTCCGCTAGGGGTCGCTAACCTTTTACAATAACAAAGGCGTAGGTTGATGACGCATAAGCGGAATTATGAAACTTGTCGTCATGCCGATGGATCTAATAATGTTTATGGATGAGTGAATACATTCATGTTTTTTAACATGACTGTGGTATGAAGCAGGTCGCGATTGGTAATGAGAGACAGATATCAGCACCACACGCAAGTCCCGCGGATATAAAGAAATGAGGACATTTCATTCTACCGAACTACCAGCAAGTGCTGAATTACTACTCACACAGGTCAGTTTATTTGACGAATGAAACTTGTGAGGTAATGCAGCGCTGTTTCACTTGGTCTACACTATCACACTAAACTGCATTTGAGTCTGTTGAAAGTTATGTTATTCTATGTTGGCTGTATGAGACTAGCAGTAAACTAGATTAGCATTAGAATAACATACTGATCATATTCTAACATTTCATCATGTTGAGTAAACATTGATTAGTTTTATGTACATTTGCTGACCTGTCTAATAAAGTACATGCAAGAGCGGCGTCTCGTCAAGTCGAAGTTAGTCGCGGACGTCTAGCTCTCGGAATCTCGAAAACGGCACGCTGATATTGATCCTCATTTTAGTTCTCCTTTTGTCCCAAAGTCACCTTGCCATGGTCCATAATGTTTGAACAAAACAACAACAGCGTGAGCATGAAGCAGACATTAAGCAGCTGTCCACGTCTGTCGCCATGGTTACTATGGCAGTAGGAGCGGAAACCAGGGATAACACAGATATTACTTCATTGACAGGCGGCAATGACCAGGGACGAGCCATTATTTAAAATAGGAATTTCTCTGAAATTAAAAAACTTTGGGAACTTTTGGCATATTGTAAGTACACAACTGCAGGAAATATATCACACTGTGCAAGTGATTTTTGGATATTTTATTACAAAAATCTTACATATTGTACCTTTAAATATCTTGCATTTAAAGACTGATATTATACAGAGATCATACTATCCTTACTAATAGTGATATTAAAACACGTTTTAGCCTTAATATTAAGAAATGTGCATTGTGCAATAAATCTAAATAAAGTTAAATTATAATATTTATATCAGTAAGTCTCAAGCGATATGTCAGTAAATATGTTATTGGATTTGTAGTATACTTAGCATGAAATAAATGTATTTTAAATACATTTTGGTATAGGGTTTTTTTTTTCACTGGGGGTATTATAAATGTCTATTGTTATTTTGCTCCTTTATTCCTTTGATGACAATATCATCCCTTCCATCTAAAAAAACAAACACCGTTTTCATGAACAGCTACCTACATAACACAATATTCTAATATACAGTATTACAAGTGTGACAAGATTAAGGGGTCATAACGATCACTGAAAGGGGAACCAAAAGAAAAACCATGAGTGTTATCTCACTTTTCAGACACACTTTGGGAGCCGATGCTTGAAACGGGCAGTGGAGGAGGTTTAGACGTTCCAGGGCAGGCTTACAATAATAATGCAAATAAACAAACAAGCCAAGATGACACACAACAAATGTATTCAAGCAAAAGACAGCATATATTAGTTCGGTGTAACACAGCAACACCTACGTTACTCGCGTATCGAGAAGACAGATCCATTTTTAGTCATTTCAAGTTTTATAAGCACAAATGCTCTCCTTGCTCTGTTCTGTGATGCGCGTTCGTGACGTCACGTAATACACAGTTACGTTGAAAAGGTCTCACAGAACAGAGTCATCACAGAACAGAGCAAGGCGAGCATTTGTGCTTATAAAACTTAAAGGTAACACTTTACAATACGGGTGCACTAATAAGCATTAATTCATGCTTAACTAATGCACAGATAATACTAAATTAATGTGTAACTAATGATTATCTAAGCTATTCATTAATGATTACCACATTAGGAACTAATTAAGAGTCTGTATGGTTAATGTATTAGTTCATACATTAATTGTTATTAATTAAGTTGGCTTGTGAAAGCCAACTTACTGAAATCCTATTTAAACTTATTATTCTTCTTCTTCTTCTTCTTCTTATTTTTCTTACCCAAAAAATTCTGACTGCTACTCCTCCTAGAGTTTTAACTCTACAAACTCCAAACTCGGGTCAGACCTTCAGACTGTTCTGACTCGAATTGCTATATCTTTTCAGACTGATTTGACTTTCAGATTTCTTAAAAATTAATATTAAAAATCATAAAAATCCCATTGACTTTCATTGCAACAGTTCAAATTGAGCCAAGACTACGGTGGCCCGGTAGTGTACAACACAAAAACTCAAATCTAAACTCCCTGAAGCCCTAGACTCAATTAAACTACCATTCTATATGTACTAATGAACTTATCTATCTATCTATCTATCTATCTATCTATCTATCTATCTATCTATCTATCTATCTATCTATCTATCTATCTATCTATCTATCTCTCTTTTTAACTAATCTTTCATTCTTTCTAACTAATCTTTCATTCTTTCTAACTAATCTTTCTTTCTTTCTAACTAATCTTTCTTTCTTCTAACTAATCTTTCATTCTTTCTAACTAATCTTTCTTTCTTTCTAACTAATCTTTCTTTCTTCTAACTAATCTTTCTTTCTTTCTAACTAATCTATCTTTCTTTCTTACTAACCTTTCTTTCTTTCTAAGTAATCTATCTTTCTTTCTAACTAATCTATCTTTCTTTCTAACTAAACTTTCTTTCTTCTAACTAATCTATCTTTCTTTCTAACTTTCTAACTAATCTATCTTTCTTTCTAACTAATCTTTATTTCTTTCTAACTAATCTATCTTTCTTTCTAACTAATCTTTCTTTCTTTCTAACTAATCTATCTTTCTTTCTAACTAATCTTTCTTTCTTCTAACTAATCTATCTTTCTTTCTAACTTTCTAACTAATCTATCTTTCTTTCTAACTAATCTTTCTTTCTTTCTTTCTAACTAATCTTTCTTTCTTTCTTTCTAACTAATCTATCTTTCTTTCTAACTTATCTTTCTTTTTTATTTCTAACTAATCTCTTTCTTTCTAACTAATCTATCTTTCTTTCTAACTAATCTATCTTTCTTTCTAACTAATCTTTCTTTCTTTCTAACTAATCTATCTTTCTTTCTAACTTATCTTTCTTTTTTATTTCTAACTAATCTCTTTCTTTCTAACTAATCTCTTTCTTTCTAACTAATCTCTTTCTTTCTAACTAATCTATCTTTCTTTCTAACTAATCTATCTTTCTTTCTAACTAATCTATCTTTCTTTCTAACTAATCTTTCTTTCTTTCTTACTAATCTATCTTTCTTTCTAACTAATCTATCCATCTTTCTTTCTAACTAATCTATCGTTCTTTCTTTCTAACTAATCTATCTATCTTTCTTTCTAACTAATCTATCGTTCTTTCTTTCTAACTAATCTATCTATCTTTCTTTCTAACTAATCTATCTTTCTTTCATTCTAACAAATCTATCTATCTTTCTTTCTAACTAATCTATCTTTCTTTTTTTCGAACTAATCTTTCTTTCTTTCTAACCAATCTATCTATCTTTCTTTCTAACTAATATTTCTTTCTAACTAATCTATCTTTCTTTCTAACTAATCTATCTTTCTTTCTTTCTAACTAATCTGTCTTTCTTTCTTTCTAACTAATCTATCTTTCTTTCTAACTAATCTATCTTTCTTTCTTTCTAACTAATCTTTCTTTCTTTCTAACTAATCTATCTTTCTTTCTTTCTAACTAATCTATCTTTTTTCTTTCTGACTAACTTATCTATCTTTCTTTCTAACTAATCTATCTTTCTTTCTTTCTAACTAATCTATCTTTTTTGTTTCTGACTAACTTATCTATCTTTCTTTCTAACTAATCTATCTTTCTTTCTTTCTAACTAATCTATCTTTCTTTCTTTCTCACTAATCTATCTTTCTTTCATTCTAACAAATCTATCTATCTTTCTTTCTAACTAATCTTTCTTTCTTTCTAACCAAGCTATCTATCTTTCTTTCTAACTAATATTTCTTTCTAACTAATCTATCTTTCTTTCTAACTAATCTATCTTTTATCTTTCTAACTAATCTATCTTTCTTTCTAACTAATCTATGTTTTTTTCTTTCTAACTAATCTTTCTTTTTAACTAATCTATCTTTCTTTCTAACTAATCTATCCATCTTTCTTTCTAACTAATCTATCGTTCTTTCTTTCTATCTAATCTATCTATCTTTCTTTCTAACTAATCTTTCTTTCTTTCTAACTAATCTATCTTTCTTTCTAACTAATCTATCTTTCTTTCTCACTAATCTATCTTTCTTTCATTCTAACAAATCTATCTATCTTTCTTTCTAACTAATCTATCTTTCTTTTTTCTAACTAATCTTTCTTTCTTTCTAACCAATCTATCTATCTTTCTTTCTAACTAATATTTCTTTCTAACTAATCTATCTTTCTTTCTAACTAATATTTCTTTCTAACTAATCTATCTTTCTTTCTAACTAATCTATCTTTCTTTCTTTCTAACTAATCTTTCTTTCTAACTAATCTATCTTCTTTCTTTCTTTTGTTTCTTTCTTTCTTTCTAACTAATCTTTCTTCTTTCTTTCTTTCTTTCTTTCTTTCTAACTAATCTTTCTTCTTTCTTACTTTCTAACTAATCTTTCTTCTTTCTTTCTTTCTTTCTTTCTTTCTTTCTTTCTTTCTTTCTTTCTTTCTTTCTTTCTTTCTAACTAATCTTTCTTCTTTCTTTCTTTCTTTCTTTCTAACTAATCTTTCTTCTTTCTTTCTTTCTAACTAATCTTTCTTCTTTCTTTCTTTCTAACTAATCTTTCTTCTTTCTTTCTTTCTCTTTCTAACTAATCTTTCTTCCTTTTTTTAGCTAATCTTTCTTTCTTTATTTCTTTCTTTCTTTCTTTCTTTCTAACTAATATTTCTTCTTTTTTTCTTTCTTTCTTTCTTTCTTTCTTTCTTTCTTTCTTTCTTTCTTTCTTTATTTCTTTCTTTCTAACTAATCTTTCTTCTTTCTTTCTTTCTTTCTTTCTTTCTTTCTTTCTTTCTTTCTTCCTAACTAATCTTTCTTTCTTTCTTTCTAACTAATCTTTCTTCTTTCTTTCTGTCTTTCTTTCTTTCTTTCTAGCTAATCTTTCTTTCTTTCTTTCTAACTAATATTTCTTCTTTCTTTCTTTCTTTCTTTCTAACTAATCTTCTTTCTTTCTTTCTTTCTTTCTAACTAATCTTTCTTCTTTCTTTCTTTCTTTCTTTCTTTCTTTCTTTCTTTCTTTCTAACTAATCTTTCTTCTTTCTTTCTTTCTTTCTTTCTTTCTTTCTAACTAATCTTTCTTTCTTTCTTTCTAACTAATCTTTCTTCTTTCTTTCTGTCTTTCTTTCTTTCTTTCTTTCTTTCTTTCTTTCTTTCTTTCTAACTAATCTTTCTTCTTTCTTTCTTTCTTTCTAACTAATCTTTCTTCTTTCTTTCTTTCTTTCTTTCTTTCTAACTAATCTTTCTTTCTTTCTTTCTTTCTAACTAATCTTTCTTCTTTCTTTCTTTCTAACTAATCTTTCTTCTTTCTTTCTTTCTTTCTTTCTAACTAATCTTTCTTTTTTCTTTCTTTCTTTCTTTCTTTCTTTCTTTCTTTCTTTCTTTCTTTCTTTCTAACTAATCTTTCTTTCTTTCTTTTTAACTAATCTTTCTTCTTTCTTTCTTTCTAATCTTTCTTCTTTCTTTCTTTCTTTCTTTCTTTCTTTCTTTCTTTCTTTCTTTCTTTCTTTCTAACTAATCTTTCTTTCTTTCTTTCTTTCTTTCTTTC